TCAAACGTATACGCATTGATACATTTGTTTGGAATGCAATATTTAAATGCTCCTGCGATATGCCGGATTTATATATTTGTTCCCACCATATAATTTTTTTTCTCCCTTCCTCACAGCACCGTTGGATTATCCTCTCTATTTTATTATATTTGAGTACATTCATTTATTATAGGGAAAGTATAATTCACGGACCATTGGCGGCATTTAACATCAATTAAGAATTAAAATATTCTGAAATATTATTGCAAGACTAGGAGAGTGATTTAAAAATAATTTTAGATGGAAAAAGATTATAATACCGTTGCTTGTCTTTTTTTAATTCATAAGTAGTCATTCATAAATTAATAAATAATTAACCATTCATATTTAATAAGAAACCATTAACAAATTAACAAGTTTAAGAATTTGTTTTGGGAAGGGATAGTTATAGATTGTATTTTCATAAATATTCATTTGCATTTAACAATGAGTTAGTCGATAATTGACAAGTTCAATAATTTAAAATAATTTAATTGTGAAAAAGGATAAGTGTAAATCATGTTTTAATAAATAACTATTAATTAAGTAATAAGTACCTGTTCACATTTAATAATAAGTCATTTGTTAATTAATAAATTCAAAAATTTGGTCATGAAAAGGGACACGTGTAAATTATATTTTAATAAATAGCCATTCATTAAGTAATAAGTACTCATTCACATTTAACAAGAAATTATTCTCTAATTTACAAGTTTTAAAAAAGGAAAAAAATAAGAGTATTGTAGTCTTTTCCCATCTGAAATTATTTTCACATCGGTTTCTTAATTCTACAATGATATTTTAAAATCATTTAATTCTTGTTTAATATTAAATTGCTTCTATGGTTCTTGAATGATATCTTCTTTTTATTATATATTGCTGTATTGATATAAATAGAGTCTTATTGGAGCATTTCAAAAGGAGGGAAGAACACAAAAATGGATTACCCAGTGATTTTAAAAGGACACATATAAATGAGTATGATATCACATCACACCTTAATATAAAATTTTAAGGCATTAACATTCCAATACAAAGAGTCAAGGGTTGATTAGAATGAGTGGTTTTTTTTTTTCTTTTTAAGGGAGAAGAAATAAAAAGTCCAGATGAAGGAAGAAGGATGGCCCAACATGAAAAAGTTGAGGGAAGGGGTACGGATGAATTCCGTCGCACGTAACAAATTTGATTAAAGCAATTAGGTTCAATGATCCGTTAATTATTAATATTAGGTATCCCCACTAAACACAAACATGATTAAAAATATAAACGTTAGTGCTTCCACACGCGCGCGCACGATCACTTGTGTCAATGCCCACAAAACTATCAATCTCTTCGTTATGTCAACCCTGTCCTCGCTCTCATTCAATATCATGACTCAGGTGTCATCAGTCATCACGCTTAATTTTTTGAAATCATATATAACTTGTTATACATGTAAACTAATGAGTATAAATGCGTTGAATCATTCACGCGATACACGTGTATATATATATATATATGTATGTGTGTGTGTATCACCACCATATATATATATGAAGTGAGAGAATTCTTTAAAGATCCTTTAACTCGAACACACAGCTTCTGATCATCACGTTAAAAAAAGATGGAAATCTACTTCATTAGCTCTCAATCATCATTCATCAGCTTTCCTTGATACTGTTTCCGTAATTTGTTAACATCATAGTGCCGATAATTAGTAAGAAGACCCACAAGACCCAATTGAGTTGAATATTGATGTCATTATCACGAGACTTGTAAACGCACTGAGAACAGGGCAAAGCACTGGAGGTGAAGAAAATATTGATCAGCCCAGCTAGTACGCAATTAAGATTGGAAAAATCACAATCAAGAAGAGACAATTAATTGCATTGCAGGGTCAAATATTTTGATATTATTCTATAGGATTAAGGGATCTAAATGTTTTTTAAATTTATTGTAAAAAAATAAAACTATCCTTAATAGATATTTGTTGTAATGGGGGAATTAATTATTTTTAAAATAAAAATTAGATTTTTTTTTCTCGAATGGAGATTGTTAACTAGATTACAATAATTTCTTTCTATCGAATTAATATTTTGTTGTTGTAAATAAAAAAATTGATTGTTATTGGAATGGAAATAGAACTTGTTCTTTCCTCTAAATAGAGACTTATTCATTAAATCACAACACTTATTCCTCTCCATCACCAAATTAATTTTTTGGAGTTATTAATAAAGGAATTGATAGTTGTTAAAATTGAAATGGAACTTGTTTCTTTCCGAATGAGAACTTGTTCACCAAATTCCAACACTCATTCTCATCCACTACCAAATTAATTTTTTAGATTTATTAATAAGAAAATTAATTATTGTTAAAGTGAAAATGAAACTTTTGTTTTTTGAGGGGGGAGTTGTTAAAGAGTGTATATATATATATATATACTCCCTTCATTCAAAAATATAAGATATTTTTTGAGGAGTTGGATGTTAATAAATGTAAGATATTTTTAATCTTTTGAGATGTAATTTTTTTTTCAAAAGTACCTGTATTAATTATGACTTTATATTTATTATAGGGTATTTAATAGAAATAAATATAGAAAGATAAGGTTAGTTTGAAAGTAGATAATTACTTTATTGAAAGGTGACATTCAATTCAAAATGCCTTATATTTTTGGAGGAAGGGAGTACATATTATGGGTAGTTTTGTCTTTTCATAATAAATTTTAATGGAAAATCAAATCAAGGACCACTAGAGATAATTAATTATGCTGTAGGAATGATTATGATATTATTACTCTGCAAGACCCAATGACCTAAATTGAATTAAAATTTATTGTGAAAAGATAAAACTACCCCTCATATATATTTATATACTCTTTTAACAATAATTCCCTATTTGGAAAAAAATCTCATTTTTATTTTAATAACAATCAATTTTTTTGTTAACAACTCCAAAAAATTAACTTAATGATGAAGAGAAAAAAATGTTGTGATTTGGTGAATAAGTTCGCATTCAAAAAAAAAAATCTCATTTTCATTTTAACAACAATCAATTTTTTTATTAACAATTTCAAAAAATTAACTTAATAGTAAAGGAAAAAAGTGTTGTAATTTGGTGAACAAATTTCCATTCAAGAAAAAATAAGTTTAGTTTTCATTTTTATTTTAACAATAATTAATTATCCCATCACAACAAATATACATTTGAGATAGTTTTATCTATTCATAATAAATTTAAATTATATTTAGATCTTTTGATTTTGCTGTGCAATTAATTATCTTACATGATTCTTGACTGTAATTTTCTCAATTTTAATTCAATTTATATCCTTTAATCCTACAAAGTGATGTCAAAATCATTTGGTTTGTATTGCAATTAATTATCTCTCCAGTATTCCTTAATTGTGATTTTACTTTTGAGATTCAACCATTTGCTTTTCCCTTGGCCAATGAATCTTTAATTAATTAATATTATTTCCCACCAAAACGATCGATGTTAGCGGCTAACAAAGAGCACGCGTGGAAGCAAGCCATTTGTGTGTCGATCTCAGGAATGAGGAAGAAGGTACACATTTTCGTACCCTAGGATTACAAAAGATAGTGTCACTTACACGTGTGTGTGTGTTGCCTGATCTCCTTTCCTTTTCACCTTAAAAAAACTATAAACCAAGGCGCGTCCCGTGCTCGCAGTCGCAGCTAGCCAGCCTTTCAGGCTCTTGATTTGCGTCAATAATAATAGGCGTATTAGAATCGAAAGTAGTTTATAGCCCTTAAAAAAACCCATCCTTTGTTAGTGCTCTCAATATTCACACCTTTTCTAGAATATACGATTTAATGTTAATCATGAAAGCAGGTGATCTTTAGACACGTGTGCGCGCGCGCGCGCAGTTTCTGGGAAGCTTCAAATGCAAAAGCAAACGTTAAAAGGAATCAACACACAGTTTATACGCGGTGTCTGTCAAGTGAATAATGCAGATTCATTTGCCAAATTAAATATAGATTGTGCTGCCAATCAGAATCAACATAGATCAACATAAAATATACGCGGTGCCTGTTAAGTGATGGTTAATTAACTCACTCTCGGTGCAATATAGTGGTCTAACTATCTGGTTCTGATCAGTGATCTGGAAATAAATGTGTAGAATGGATGATGATTTTGAATTTGAATGTTGAACTCATAAAATATATATATATATATATATAGAGAGAGAGAGAGAGAGAGACTTCTTAAGTTCTAACCATGATATGAGGGAAAACGCCAACTTGATCGCGCCAATAGACAATCAGAGGTTTTATGTTCTTTGCAATTCCCTTCCTCTATATCTCCCCCATTAATTGTGGTAAAATTCTATCCAAAATTATAATTCTCAATTATATGCTATGAACACGTTTAATAAATTGCTACATACACATACAAACACAATGCCGTGCGTAGGAGAAACTTCTCTTTAGTGTAATTCAGACAAACGCACTTACCAATTATCTTTTTCTAACTCGTGGTTTCATGCCCTCTTATTTAAAGATCGCAAGGGACTACCTAATTTTGGCTCGAACAGTGAAAGTGAGTCATACGAATGAGCGAGCTTGGTGATGTTGCTAGCTTGCTTAGCTATAAACCTTTCGGCACGAATAGCTGTGTTGCATTAATTGTAAAAATGCAGAGCATGATATGAGACATTCTTGACACAAACGTCCTTTAAAATATGATCATCTTTTGAACTCGGTACCTCTGAAACACATGTAAGAAACACGAATATGTCTCTTGCTTCACGATCGGACATGCACAAACACATATTATTGCTGTCTCCATATAGCAGCTTGCAGCGTGAGGTGCAAACCTGCTTTCTATAGTGGGATTTACCCCCACAACACTGCTCAAAAATCAAAATCATCCAATTCTATACTGCACTACCCTACGAAACATCGCACACCGAGGCGTTTTTGCGAAAAGACCTTTTATCTCGTCCTGCATAAGGGTCACAAGGGTCGCTGGCTTGTGTCTGCCAACGTGTTCCACTATGTCACTATGGTCGTACCATATGCATTTCGTCATGGGACTACCATAGTCTTGTCTCCTGTCTTGTCTTGAAGAATGAGAAAATGAAAGGGCCAGCTGGCCCACTTTGCCTGTGTTCCTATAAATGGGGTCTCTCTCCAACTAAAGCTTTGTCCAGAAAGAGAGAGTTTTTGAAGTCCGGCTAAGAGGAAAGAGGGCGAGAGAGAGAGAGAAGACAAAATGGAGTCAACTACTGATCATCATGTAATCTCAGTTAGGAATGGTGATGGAGAGGTTGTTGCTAATGAGGAGCACAAGAGGTTCAAGTTTTCAGTTTTCTCAAAGAAAATCCATTGCTCTCTTGTCCCCGTTTCTTCCAATCTGAGGGACAAGAAGAAAAGTGAACATGACACCATCAAGGTGATTCACAGTATCAAAGTTGGAATCTCTCTAGTTTTGGTTTCACTTCTCTATCTCTTGGATCCTCTTTACAATCAAGTCGGAGATAATGCAATGTGGGCTATCATGACTGTCGTCGTCATCTTTGAATTCTATGCAGGTTTCATCTCTTGTTTCAAAACACACACATTACTTATGCTATAAACAGACGTAATATATATTATTAATACATATGCTTCAAGTTAAATTAGATGTGATGAAGAATATTAATTAATTAATGTGTTTAGGAGCGACACTTGGGAAGGGCTTGAACCGTGGAATAGGGACCATATTAGGTGGTGGTTTGGGCTGCTTAGCTGCAGTTATAGCCCAATACATTGGTGGGGTTGGCAACTCTATCATCATTGCTGCTTCCGTATTCATCTTCGGTATGTGTTATGGATTATAAGAAATAATTCAACTTTGGGACCTTGCTCTGTTTGTGTGTCGTCATCGTCATCACCAACATCATTATATTATTAATTATCATGCGTGAACTGGATATTTCAGGGGCTGGTGCGACGTATTTTCGATTGGTTCCGAGCATAAAGAAGAGGTACGATTATGGAGTGATGATATTCATCCTGACATTCAATCTGGTGGTCGTGTCTGGGTTTCGAGCCAATGAAGTGTTGAAGATAGCACGTGATCGTCTCTTAGCGATCGTCACGGGTTTCATTGTCTGCATTTCTGTCAGCTTGTTCGTCTTCCCCTTGTGGACTAGCGACGAGCTTCATCACTCTACGGCCTCCAAATTCCATGACCTTGCCAATACAATCCAAGGTTCGATCAAGATTTATAATTAGTGTGTGTTTTTTTTTTTAGGCTTCCAAAGAAACATCCTATTGCACGGTCTAAAATAAAAGGCAGCTACGAACATGGACCAAAGGGAAATATGTGATATTACAACTGCGTAAGAAACAGGGGAATTCAGTTATGCATATGAACTGCTATACCTAAAAAGTGCAATGTTGTCTTTTCATTGAAGGGTGCTTGGAGGAATATTTCAAGTCCGACAGTGAAAAGAAAAACGCTAAAATGAACACCAGCTGCTGCAAATCGGTGCTGAACTCCAAGTCAAAAGACGAGTCACTGGTATTCTTCTGTCATTTAAAAGCAGAAACTCATTTATCGTTTCGTTGTTTTTATCAACAGAGCAAGAGAAAGGTACAAAACTCTACGTGTTGGGTTTTGCAGGCAAATTTTGCAAAATGGGAACCCTGGCATGGAAGATTTGGATATTCATACCCTTGGGGCAAGTATTTAAGTATTGGAGACATCCTGCGAGAGCTAGCTGCAGTTGTTCTTGCTCTCACCAGTTGCCTCCAATCATCCAGACAGGTACATAAACAGATCCGACCATGTCCATCCCTATCTAGTTCCAGTTATGACAAAAAGAAACAGCAAGAGATAACAGTTTGAATAAATTTGTGCGGTGGTGATATATGCAGCCAAAGGAATCCCTAAAAGAAGCATGTGAAGGAATTGGATCAAGCATTGCATGGAGTTTAAGAGAGGTTGGAGAGAGCATCAATCAGAGGAGGAAGTTGAAGGCAGAGAGTGAGATTTTACCGAAGTTGAAGGCAGTGAGGGCAGAGATGAGCTCCGTGTTTGGGAGGATCAAGATAGCAGAAGAAGAAGCTGAGAAGAACGAGGAAGATTTGACAACAGCAAGTTTATTAGTGTTGTTATTGACAGCGGTTGTGGAGAAGGTAGAGGAATTGGCAAAACAAGTGGACCAACTTGGAGAAATGGCTGCTTTTCATTCTAACGTGGCATTTACTAGCTAGCTTATAGCTAGTTGCACAGAATTAATAAGTACAAATACATGTACGTGCCAATTTTGGCCCCCCTGTATGTGAAAGGCAAACAGTGATGAAGTATATAAGCCATTGTACATTTGCACTACACTAATGGAGTTGGGGTATATATGTAATTCTCTGCTTTGAGGGCAAACAATGTCAAAGGCTCTAGCTAGAGCTAGACCATCATGTTTTCTAACTAAAAAGGTGTGGAAGTATAAGACAGTTCTATATTTTATAAAATACATGAAACCTATAGGAAAAAGCAAAGTCTGCTAATATACTGTGCTTTCACAACGTATACTCACTTAATATTTCCCATTTCTTTTGCCTTAATATTTCCCATTTCTTTTGCTCCTTTCTATAGTTGTTTTGGATTTAAAGGCCAACGTGTAAACAACCATTTTGGACTTTAAAAATTGAGTATTCGTTAGCAGGAAACAAAAAGAAAAGAAAAATAACTGGCCGGCAACCATGGTCATATTGAGCATCCACTGTACAAAAAGGTTTTGTCAACCACTGAAAAGATAGAGAAGGGGTAAAAAATAATTGAAGTTAAGCGACGGTCCTATCAAGACAATCTTGTAATCTTGTGGAAGGTTGAAACCGATTTCTTTTTGCACTTTGCTGCAAGCCAATAACTAACAACTTTTTTAAAGTTAATCGTATCGTAATTATAATTATAATTTTTATATGAATAACAGATCAACATTAGTACAGTAAATTACATAAATTCAATAACACTAGATAATGAATCCCATCCTATATGTAGAGTTTGAAATGAACACATTATTTATGACCTATATATAAATTTTATGTTGCATGATGATATAGCGATGAGTTAATAGCAGTGCAAGAGGACTCAAAATATTAAAATAAAATATACTCCACGCGATTTAATATAATTTTTTTTCCTTACTCTAGGTTAGGAGGTAGCGATATTCAATCTTCTAATGCTCTAAGAGTACAAAAAATCTACTGAATAGCTTCTTTTTAATAAAAATAAACAGATATTATTTGGATTGAATAGAACAGGGATGACCCCCTCATCATGCCTTCATTAATATTATCAAGTGGTTTTTGAAGCCTCAAAGTTTCTCCTGGCTTCAAGACCTAATCAAATGGTTTGTTCAAAAAGTATAAATGATAGCATTAAAATAATCAAAGAATACTATATCTATTCCCAGTTAAAAAACTAACAATAGACAAAGATTGGCATCAATAGACTTTTTTTCAAAAAAAGAATAAATAATGATGAAAACCAGGAAAGATCAAAGTTAGGTCAAGTCTAGAAGAAAAAGATCCCTAGGATCATTAAAAACGTTTAACATAAACAATATCATGAGATGTTTGATAAGTAACTATGTCCACATATTAATTTACTTCTCCAAAAAGCTTGTCCAAGGCAACGGTTTAATACAGAGCATCAAATAGCATTGTTGCATAGGTCAACGGAACAAGGCACTAGGCTTAGAACTAGGCTTAGAAAGATTAACAAAGTATCATTGTGATCGGCCATACAGGATGATGAAGAGGGTACCATCGCCCAAATATGCAGCAATTACGATTGCTATGGTATGCCTGTGGGCTATTGCTGAGTGTGTTCCCGATACCACCCTCATGAACGCTCTCTGCAACGCTGGTGTCTTCACCTCCGGCGATCCTTTCTCCATCAGCTTAGACTATGTTCTTCAAGAACTCCAGACGGTGACGTCAACGAGGACAACTTACGATTACCCCAACATTTCTCCTTATCCCAATGCCTTTGCCTATGGACATGCTTCCTGTAACACCAATCTCACCACCTCTGACTGCAATACCTGTCTTGCTGCTGCCAAAACGGCCTTGTTCGGGACGTGTCAGAATCGGATTGGGGCTCGCTCCTTGCTTCGTGATTGTACTCTCAGGTATGAGCAATATCCGTTTGATGATTAGAACGCTGTGGCTTTCGGTTTTCAGGTTGCAGTCCGAGGATTTGGATTCATCTCGTCAGGAACCGCACGACCTGTTTTATTTTAATCTTTATTAATACGCTGTGATTTCTTTCGTGTATGAAATTTGTATGACTATCTTGGCCTGGGTTTCAACGGCGCAGAGTCTTGTTTTGGGTTTTACTAGATGGCCAGTGTAAGCCGTGGAAAGTATAAAACGTGACACTCTGTTTTCTCCTTGACATGTTTCCATCGATAATTCATGGATGATCGTCCACAAGAAAAGTCAAAGCCAAACCCCACGTACTTTTTTCTTTTCCTGTCAAGAAAGGAAAAGGAACTACTCAAGGCACCATCTGAAGGATTTACACCTGCGTTTGCCTGTATAAAATAACATATGGCCATATAATCTAATCTAAGTACATAAACCTATATACGACGAAAAATTAGCTACAACAAATGTTCATCATTCTTCTATGTATAAGATTTACATCTTACGACATTTACATAGAGCTGCAGGTGTTTTCTGATCTATCACTATGGTTTCTCAGTGAAGCTTCTGTCACACGCTGTCCCTAAAATTCACCACCCAACATATAATTTCATGAATATGGTTGTGTTTTGACATATAATGCTGGAGACTACTCCAACAAGGATGAAGCAATCGTTTGCACATAAGGCAAAATAATATGTTAGATGCATTGACCACTGAACTGAAGTGACTGACCCCGCAGATTCCAACTTCAACCCAGCTTCACAATACTCACCCATCATAATGAAGGTAGCATGAAGAAAATTGGAAAAATTCTGTATACCTCAGCAAGCTTTCCAGAGAAATTACAATGAAACTTGTGAAACTCCTGTTGAATTTATTGCGCGATATGCCTCCCGTTTAAGGAGAAGTGCAAAGAGAATTTCATTCCATGAATCAGGAACACCAGGTAGGCACCAATGGCTGCAATCTTGTCTGCGCAAAGGGGCGGTACCCTTTTCAGGTCCAAGATAGTAAATAGAAGCATGGGCATCCTTTCTGCGTAATGTCATTTGAGTGATATTTAACAAGTCCAAATTCGTCACTTTCGATTTATTCAAGTGCCCTGATAATACATCCAAGACAATTTCGACATGGCTATCATGATATACGGGCAAGGGACCTAAATCAGGTAGTGTTTCCAAATGACAGCCTCCACCAGTATTCCAGTCACCACCTCTGATATACGCATCCAATGTGTCAGACCCATGCAAAACATCATTGACATTAAAAAAATTCAAGCAAATAAGGATACAATCATTCATGTATAAGCAAGACAATTAACAAGGAAAAGGCCAACCTGAAATGCACAGGAGCGTAAGTTCGAAAAAGGACATAAGTCTTGTTCATGTTTACTGCACCAGCAATCCAGTTAGTTACTGTCTCCATTGATCTTCTGAATGCATCTTCCATAGTCATATTCATCTTCACTTCCTGCCCCATTTGGTAATAACATCCCCTGTCAAAGTGAACCCAAGACCAGAGTCATGTTGCTGGTGTGTCCTCAGAACCATGATGGCAAAACCAAATAGTCCATCATGTTCATTATTGAGGAAACAACCACAAATTTTGGTAATTCAATCCTAACCAGCCCAAACTCAAGCTATAATCCCATCTTACATTCAGTATAGGGATATTCTATAATATATAGTTTAGCTCTTTTTTTTTTTTTTTTTTTACTATAACTTGCACGGAAGAATAAAATTAATGAACTCTGCAAAATTATCATCCCCTGAAAGTTACCACCACCAAAGCTAAGGCTACTCTAGTAGCCGAGTACCTTGACACTGAACATTTGGACTAAAAGATTTGTAATTCAAATTGATAGACAGGTTAAAAACTCCCTAGATAGCTTTTCAATGCAACGAAAGTAGTAGCTAGCCAAAAGTACTAAGTACAACAACCAGCTAATCGGAATAACTAAGCAGACCAACAATACCTACATTCTTATAGTCTTCTCATAATTCCACCAATGTCCAGCATTAAGAACGAGCAAATCTGCATCTCTCCAACGGTAAGAAGTCCAGTCCATGAGATCAATTCTCAATGTCATTTTTACCTTCTTAGGTGCTCCGGGAGGAGGCCTACCCTGCACCACCAGAAATGGTGATTTGTAGTATTCCACAGTGCAGTTGAAATCTTCAAACCTGAATGCCAAGAACCCTATGTGCTTTGTGATTGGACTCCCATTAATCTCATACACGGAAGTCTTGTTTTGAATAGCAGAAGAAAGCATACAAAGGAGTGATTCCCATTGGTTCCTTCCAATTGAGTCACCAACAAATACAAGGCGCTTGTTCCTAAACATTTCCAACATCTTCCCTGCATCAAATCTGTTCCAGGAGTAAGAAAGAACCCCACATAATAAGTACTTCAATGACAGAACCAAACACCACCAAGGATCACCAAATTAATTAATTAAATACAATGCTATCACGAAAGCCTCCCACCCCCTTTCACATTACGGGCTCTCAGCAAGCTACAAATAAGATTTACCAATGCATAGCTTATAAATACGAAGAAAGTCACACAATTTACACAGTAAGTAAAGCTAATTTCAAAGGCATTAGACATGTAAAACTAAATTACAACACGTGAAGATGAGATGTAGGAGTTTCTTAGCACCAGCTAAATGTCCCAGAATAGGCAAACTTAAAGAATATGATTGCTAAAATGCAATAAAAACAATAACAACCCTTATCCTATTAGGTGGGATCAGTTAGAAAAATTGTATGTACTCTATCATCAACCAAACTTTTATAAATATTATTAACTAAGAGATGTCGTTTAACAACTTCCATAAGTGTTCTTTTTAGTCTTGTTCTACCCTTTTTCACCAAAACTCAAGACTATCTGTTTTACCCTTCTTACTGGTACTCCCGACGGCCTTATCTGAACACGTCCAAACCATCTAAAGTAATGCAGTAAAATTTCCAGCTAAGAGAGGAAATACCAAAGCAGCACACCCCAACACAAAAGAATTATATAATCCTTAAAAAGGGGAGAAACAAAAGAAAATAGAAAGTGGGAGAAAGGTCGAGAGATCAACGCCAGAGTTTACGGAAATACAGGTGATGACAAGGGAGAATGACTCAAAAACGTTCCCACGTTCGCCTTTTGCTTTTGATCTGGGATGAAATATTTATCGTAGAGCCGTTAAGTAAAAAGTCACTATTCCTATTTCTAATTAACGTTACGCGAATTTCTAGGATGAGATTTCCGTATCCTTAAAGACCACGTACTATAGAATAGAACCTTTTCCTTCGTGCCAATTCATTAGAAGGTCAGAATCCAAGCGTCAAAGGGGTCAACACAGTCGAAAGGAGACTCCTCAAAACAGAAGGTTTTAGCGGCATAGAAATTTTGTCGCACCTAATTCACGGTGATCATGCAAGACGTAAGACAGAATAACACAGAACGCAATAGCCAAACACGACCTCAAGAAGGAACAAAGGAAAATGTCGTCTTCTTTTCCCCACTTTTTTTCTCACAACATGAAAAGCAGAAAGTAAAATCCGAACAAATAAAAATATTTACAACCTGGGCAACTTGCATTCTTTGGGCCGCCAGCGCCACTTGGTGTAGATGCTATCAGGCCTGCCATTCTCATTGCACCGAAAACCTTGATCCATGAAGGAACAAACAGTGGAATTATACAGAGGATAGCTCTCATCCCAAACCCAATTTCCATCAAACAGGTCGCAACTACCACCATCTCGGTGGAGGAATTCGGGGCGAGAATCCCCGATCAATGGAGAAGAAGAAGAAGACAAGGATGGAGTACCCCATCCCAGGAAAACAACTCCAGAGTGCAGCCCCCTGAAGATAGACTGGAAATCCAGGTAGAAGAAGCAGACGATGAAGAGAGAAGTGACCAAGAAGAAGCAAAATACTCCCAGAGTAGGTTCGAGAGGGCTAAAGCGCTTGGGCTTCTTCAGCATATCCTGGTGGGTCATGGTGTCGCCAGAGTGCTGAGAAGCTCGCGTACTCTTGGTCATTTCATCCGAGGGAAACGAAAAAAACATTCAAGCGTGTATCGCCAGAAGATGATATCAGAAACGGGAGAAGAGAGGGATAATCGCAGAACAGAGAGGGACGAGGAGGAGCAGGTGGGCCCAGGAACTCGGTGAAGGCATTAATGGCAGAACGACTCTGCTTTTTGCCTTTATGGGCTCGCCCACTGAACCAATGAGTTACTGAAACGAAAAAAGGAAAGAGAAGCTTTGTGAAATAGATGTGGATTGTGGCGTTCAACACGTTGCGCAGGCAAATACTAACAGTTATCAGTTAGCCCCGTGAAGGTGAAGCAGGTATAACGAATGGATTGGCTGGGAAGAGTTAGAGCCCAAAAAAAAAAAAAAAAAGGAACAAGACAAATTGGCAAACCCTTTATTTTCATTTTGGTGGGAGAAAAATATATGCTCTCTTTATCCGACAAAAATAGGAAAAAGCAATTTAGATTCCTTCTTAACACCAAAAAAAAAAAGAAAAAAAAAACAAGAACAACGCACGCAAGGAGAAAAATCTCTCAACAGATGGAAGGGAAAATGGAATTGTGCTGCTGCCTTCACTAAAAAATAGGAGAGATTCTGCTGCAACAAACCAGATAACAGAAACAGTAACTAAAAAAATAATCCCAGGAGTTAATGCTGGTGATAATTAAGTTAGGAAGCAACTAATAGTTGGATTTAACGAAAAAGGTAGTTTTTTATAACATGATGAATTAAAATTTAAATTATCATTAAAAAATATTATTTTCATAAAAATATTAATTAATTAAAAGAAATTAATTTGCAACTTATAAGTTTACAATAATTCTAAAAGGAGAGGGAGATTGAAGAAAACGCCAATAAATAATAAAAAAAAATGGAAAGGAAAAGGTTTGAAAGAGAGGGCGACGGCGACGAAGAGCGGAGGAGGAAAAATGCGTTTTTGAAGGCGCGTTTGGCGAATGGGCCTGTCCTACCATAAATGTCATGTCACCCAACACGGTGGACCCCTTGCTTATTTAAGTAAACAAACAAGCCCTTACTGTTCGATTTTTTACTCCTATTAAACTCAGGATTACTCTCATTTTCTCATTCACACGAGCATAATAATATGCCACTAGTTTCATGATCAACTCGTTCACCAGAGCTCAGAAGCATCCATTTGATTCTTTTGTCCTGTAAAGAGGCAAGTCCAATCCTTAATCACACACCTCACATAATCGTCACATCATCATCTTATCATGTAGGTGTGAAGGTAATTTTATGATACAGTGATTAACACCACAATTAATTGCATATATGCAAGTCATTGCTTAATTTCCATCACCCTTTCACTTGTCTTGCCGCATTCCTCCCTCACCTAATTTCTTCTTCTTTATGTCATGCTGCCTCTGAATCTTGATCCTTGAATTTTTTAGACAAGATAATCTTGCTAGTATTATATGTCTCCTTGAAAGAGACATTGTTCTCGTCCATAATAGTTAAAATAAATCAAATCTACGTGTCTTCTTTATTCTATTTAAGTTGTGATGTGGACCCAATGCAGAGGCGTGAAGGTCTTGCACGTTACATTGATTGATGGCTTGCTACATTTTGAGCCCAGAAATTTCCTTGCTTAATCTTGTTCACCAACGTCTTTTTAGCATATCCTTTTCTTTTATAAATATCAGAAAAAATATGTATGCATGTATAATTTAAAGTTTTGTTTGTGTGCAGATATTGTTATTTAACGTTAAAGTTTTACAATAAATCCCCTATAATTTTACCTTTATATATGTATGCAAATTATTCATGTCCATCGTTAATTTATCTGTTATTTCTAAGTCATTAAAACAATATAATATGATAAGGGGTTTATTTGCATATGACTTAAAATTTAGGGGTTATTTATGCATATATAACTCAAAGTTTGAGAAGGATTATCTAAAGAAACAGTTTAAGAAACTATTTCGTCAATGCTAACATATTATGCGTCATTGATGAATAATTAACAGCGAGTAATTATCTGCACAAACTTCAAATTTTAAGGTGGTTCTTTATCAAATTTTAAAAGTTAGGAGCCATTCTTATATAAATCAAAGTTAATGAGAGTTTAGAATAATTTAACTGAAAATTTTACAAACCTTAGTTTTGTTGCTGTTTTTTTTTTTTTTTTGGGTTCTTTGTTTGCCTTTTTGCTTTGGTGTTATTTGTTGTTTGGCCTGGGCTGTTGGACGACTCCTTTTTGTGGTAATGATATCCTTTTCTCTGGCAAAAAACAAAAAACAAAAATGAAAAATTTACCCGAAGTTATATATCCTCGCAAAATACGAATTCGGTGATTCACTTTGATTGCATGATCATATACCAATTTTTGTGTAAAATTATGAAAAAAAATAAGTATATATAATAAACTTTTTGCCCACGATAGTTAACATGTGCCCTCACTTTGATAGCGATCTCCCATCACGCTATCGCCTGCACTCAACTTGAACGAATTTTTTTGTGGTTGAAAAAAATTCAGATTTGTTGGATTTCGATAAGTTACGGATATCAGGACATGTCTCGACGTAGACGAAATTTTTTGTTTTCAATGACTCTCCTTAAAATTTAAAAAAAAAAAAATCAGAGGATTAGTTTGTTCTTTATATTCCATTCCCTCTCCAAATCTGGCAAAATATTTACGCCCTTGAAAATGAAAATGGCAGGCAAATACTACGATGTACGATGTTGGGGACCCCGCACAGGTTAACTTTTGAACTTTTCCAGTACCCACTGGGGATTGGTTACCACCCAAGAAAAAAAAAAGAGTTGAAAATTAATATAAAAATAAATTAAACTATCTTTTTTTATAATGAACATAATAAAACTTATTATATATACTACAAACATTAAAATCATCACATTTTTTAAAATTATCATAAATTATAATTTTTAATCTTATAAATTAAATTACTTATTTTTTTTATGAACGTGACTCATTTTTTTTTAATTATTTTATTTTTATTTTTATTTTCTTAATATATTCCATTGCATTCCTTTATACAAATCAAACGAGGCTTTAGAAAATATTACTTTTCCATAGGGATACTTCGAATCGTGTTATAATTGTTTGATTTCATATTTCTGACAGCTTAATATTCACGGACATTGTTGATGTTCATTAATAATCAGTTCATGCATTTGCTATGATGCCATTTATATGCCACAACGAATTATATGAGCTCTTGGATATTAGTAACTTTCCTTCTAAATATTTTTCTCTGGAAGGAAATTTTATTATATCAAACAATTTACATTTTTTATTAAGTGTGTATGTATATTGATATTACTATCTAATTGGGTCTGACGTCAGGGTAGCTCTACCAGAAGCATTTTATGCATTCAAATGAACTCAAATTAGAAATCTCATAATTAAGTGATCATAGCTTCTGTCACTGAGATCAATGCCTCTTAGTTTTATTAAGTTAAGCTAAGTGAATCTGTTCATGACTTCATACATTATATTTTTTCTTGATTCCATTCCATGGCTCGGTATCCTAAAAAACTCAATGGCCTGACGGGTATTTTGGAGATACTTTTAATATATTTGTTTAAAGCAACTGTATAATTTAAAATTTAAACTTGAAGTTCTAAAATAAACTGATTTAACTCTCTTAATCAGTTGGACCAAACACTACTCAAGTATTGTATGTTTATAACACTCAAGACACAAGATTATAGAAAAAGGAACACTTTGGTTTTGTAGAAAATAAATATATTAATTAACCCGCACTCTCTTGGTCAGATATTTAGCCCCAACTTAAAGCAGCTGGAATAGATAGCTAATCATCAAAGACCTGCTATACAGTATGAACTATAATCACACGGATAATTTTTTTTTTTAAATTTATAATGAAAAGATGACGATGAACTATTTATAAGTACAGTGTCTAATGAAAAGAATAATATGTGCATGTGCATCTTTCATCTATCCAATGTAACATATCACAGCTTTTAGAATGAGATCGTTCAGGCGATAGATTACGGTTACAAATTGAAGATTACTTTAAAAATGAATAGCCACCTAATTAATCATGTTGCTCATTCACTTCAGTAACAGCCAATAATAAAAATAATAAGGAAAATGATATTTTTGGATTTGAAAATTATAAAGCCATTGATAATTTTTTTTCAAACTATTTTTTGCCTTTTTCATTGGGAAAATGATAGGAAGGTTTCAAGGGATCAATTAATTTAAATTAAATCCTAAATACAAAACTTTAAGTATTTGAAAGTTTGACTTTCAATTTTATAACCTCGTTATGATGAATTTGCAGCTTAATAGGGAAACTAATTTTATTTAATTCTTTAACCATGTTAAAATTTAAAAAAACAAGTTACAAATTTATCATAACGAAAAGTTACAAAATTGAGAAATGAGTTAGCAAATTCCTAGAGTTTGGTACTTGAGACTTATCTATCATTTTCCTTTTTTTTTTATATTGCCAAAGTGTTATTTAACTGTAACAACAAAATAAAATATTCTAACTGTAAAAAGAACCAGGTTATGGCTTAAGAAACAAATAATGATTTCAAAAGATCTCTAACAGAATTGATTAAGTTCAAAAATTTTGGTTATTAAATTTACAACTTTTTTGCAATGTCATTCCTTTCTCTTTCCTTTTTGATTTTATACCAAATGGACTTGAAAGGTGTCAGCATATTTGATAAAAAGTTAAAGAGGCAAAAATACCTACAAATTGATCAGCTAGTACCACCCATACCATCCAGTAATTTAAAGTGAAGAAAATGACATAAACATTTAGAATGTTATATGAGTAGGTGCATAAGTGTCAAATCTATCTATTGGCTCTAACCTTCATTTATTTCAGGTGTTGACTGCTTATCTAACCTGCCACATGTCATTTGACTAATCTAACACTGATATGGCTTATTCTTGTGTAGCATTTACTTGTGGTTGGTAAAGGAAATAAATTGCCCACCTACTTTCACAAATTTATCATTTTATCATCCAAGAAGGAGAGCTTTAGTCAGTCTTCATCGTCTTTACTCTTTGTTTTTGACCTAATATATAGCATCATCTTCATCGTTGACCACCAAAATTAGCAAAAGGAGGGTGATACATATCAGATGAGCTCAACACAAAGAAGAAGATGAAATTCTAACTAAGCATTGCCACTGTGGCTTGGTGCTCCAAGATAGATAGCATGGACAAATGCTAACCTAGCAAGAAGATTTTATGGGTGTCCAAGGTATCACTAAGTAACATGATTTGAAATCATTTATTTCTCATTTATTTCCCAATTTCTTCAATTGCTACCTGGTGTCAATGTTAAACATCACAGGGGGTAAGTAGGGCTTCTTTTCTTGGCATGATGGTGATTTTAGTAAGAGG